ATTTTTTTTTTTTTTTTTTTTTTTTTTTTTTAAGATTTTATTTATTTAGCATCCAATTCTTGATCTCAGCTCAGGTCTTGATCTCAGGGTCATGAATTCAAGCCCCATGTTGGGCTCCACGCAGGGCATGGAGCCTACTTTAAAAAAAAAAAAAAAAAGAATTGGATGCTTTAAGCAACTGAGCTACCCAAGGCACTGCTAAAGTATTATCATTTTAATATGTAATTAAGAAATTCATTAATGAAAAAAGGAAATTAATGAAATGTTGTATTCCTGAAGTGTACTAAATCTTCAGATCCAGTGTACATTTTATGCTTACAGTACAACTGAATTTGGATTAGCTGTATTATTTGAAGTACTCATTAGCCATCTGTTATAAAACTATACTAAGACAATGTGGTATTGGTGCAAAGACAGAGAAATAAATCAATGAAACAAAACAGAGTCCAGAAACATTTATAGTCACCTGATTATGACAAAGGTGACCGGATTATGATTATGGTGACTTCTGGACACAAGGGAAAAGATGGTCTTTTCATTAAATGGTACTAGATCAATGAGATATCCTTTGGGGAAAAAAATGGATCTCTATGCCTAACACAGTAATACATATCAATTCTAGATGGACTATAGATCTAAATGTAAAATAAAATAAACCCTTTAGAAGAAAACACAGGAAAAATATCTTCATAATTTTAGAAATAGCCAAGATTACTTAATACTTAAATAAGACACGCAACAAACAACTGATGAAGGAAAAAATGATAAATGAGACTAAAAATGATGTGCTTGGGGTGCCTGGGTGGCTCAGTGGATTGGGGCCTCTGCCTTTGGCTCGGGTCATGGTCCCAGGGTCCTGGGATCAAGCCCTAAGTCGGACTCTCTGCTCGGCGGGGAGCATGCTTCCTTCTCTCTCTCTGTCTCTCTGCCTGCCCCTCTGCCTACTTGTGATCTCTATCTGTCAAATAAACCAACAAAATCTTTAAAAAAATAAAATAAAATAAAAATGATGTGCTTACTTCCTCTTGATGAAAGGTAGGAGGCAATGTTGGCGAAGGTGCAAAAGGAGGTGGAGAGATGACCTTCCTTTCCTCTAGCTGGGCCATTATTTCCTTCCGTCTTCGATGTAACTCATCTAGACTAGGATGGGGCTGAGGAGGAGGAGGAGGAAGCCGGCTATAAGGAGAGTCCTGGAAATGCAAAGATTAGTAAAAACTGAAAAAGAATTTCAAAACACATTAGCTCATTTAGCACATATTTTAAATAGGTTTTATGTGTTCATATCAGTATCTGAACATACTAAGGCTTAGTAAAACAAAGCAAAATAAAACAAAGCCCTTCAAAACTCTTGAGGTTTTCCCAAAGAGCAAATTTAAATTTCTTTTCCTTGGCCAGAGACCATAATTTCAAATACATTTGACGCTTGAGATGCACAGAGCCACTTACACATGGATTTTTTTTTCAATAAAAACAGTTCTGTAAATATATTTTCTCTAATGATTTTAATAACATTTTCTTTTCTCTAGCTTACCATACTTTAAGAATACAGCATATAATACATACAACATACAAAATATGTGTTAACTGACAGTTTATGTTAGGCTTCTGGTCAACAGTAAGCTATTAGTAGTTAAGTTTTTGGGGAGTCAAAAGTTACACATGCGTTTTTCAATTGCATGGGGGGCATTGCACTCTTTAATGCCTGCATTGCTCAAGGGTCAAATGTGGATCTAGAAATGTTAATAAAACTAAAGTTCTGAAACTAAGAAGGGTTAGTGGGAGTGGGGTAGGATTTTTTTTCCCCTTTAATATTAAGTTAAAAAAAAGAAGACCCAAAACCAAAAACCAACTCTACCCAAATTGTGAAAAGATGAAAAAAAAGGAAGGGGGAAGCTTTCTCATAAAAAAGAATTGATCGAACAAAGAGTTACTACCATGGCAAAAAGGTAAATCACTACAACCAATAATCAAATTAAATCTACATAATAAGAAAAAAAAAGACAACCAGCATACTCTGTACGAAGGTCTGATCTGAGTTGGATGAGGAGCCACTGGATAGTAACCCTCCATCTGTTGGTATCTTTCTCTGGATTCTGGTACATAGGATGGTACTGCTGCAGGTGGAACCTCAATGGGTATAGGACTTTCTCGGAAAATCTCCTCTCTTGTGTAAGACTGAGCAGGGTACATTCGGCGGCCGTCATAGTGTGGTGGGTACATAGGTGGGTACTGTTGTGGCTGTGTGCCATACTGAGAGTTGACTACACGATCTTGGAGATAGGGTGGATAATGATCCAAGTAGGGAGGACCAGGTTCAGGAGCAGATGGTGGAGGTCTAACAAAGCGAGACACACACTGTGGTGGTGTAGTATAGTACATACCTGTACAATACAAAAAAGGAACCAAAAGCAACAATAAGCCAATCTATTTTTCTATATTTTTCCTTTTAATATACATCAACACTAAAGAATTAATAATCCACTCATTTCTTTACATGTTTTCCCCTCTGCTGTAGTCAGGTTAGTTTTATGAAAAAATAAAAATTAACTTTAATCCTTAAAAGTCATTGAAAAAACTAATCTATTGATAATTTATAATAGCAGATTGACTCTCTCAGTTGTTTGACCATCTTTTCTGCTATGCCTTAATGCAATGCAAATATTGGAAAGTTAAGGATTACATTTCCCTGAAATTCAGATTCCACAAATCACTCACATGAAATCTGAATGTGAAATAGAGTTAAGTGGAAAGGAATGTGGCACACACATATCTATTCTGCTGCTGCAGAGCTCTGGAGCTCTGGAGACAAGAGTTGTAGCAGTGGCTTCCCAATTTTCAGACTTTGGCTTCAAGCGATATGATCCTGGCACACAGATAGGACCCATACTTCCTTTTTCTATTGCTTCTTCACTGTTTTTTATTAAAGATTTACTTGAGAGAGAGTGTGCATGCATGCCAGAGAAAGATTGTGCATGCACAAACTGGAGGAGAGGCAGAGGGAGAGAGAAGCAGGCTCCATCCCAGAACCCTGGGGTCATGACCTGAGCTGAAGGCAGACGCTTAACAATTGAGCCACCCAGGTGCCCTGTTTTCACATATTTTTTTTCTTAAGATTTTATTTATCCATCTGAGAGAGAAAGAGAGAATGAAAGAAAGTATGAGAAGGGAGAAGGTCAGAGGAAGAAGCAGACTCCACGTGGAGCTGGGAGCCCGATGCCGGACTCAATCCCGGGACTCTAGAATCATGACCTGAGCCAAAGGCAGTTGCTTAACCAACTGAGCCACCCAGGCACCCTGCTTCCTCACTATTAACAGGCTTTTTCAGTATTTGCTTCTGGGACTCACTCCTCCAGGCCTAGCTTCAGCCTGCTTTTGCAGTACTTCCATGGATTCTATAGGCAACTCAACTCCCTGCAATCAACCTCTTTGTGCTCAACCATGATTTCTGATCTCTGATTCTGGACCTTGACTGATACAGTGTATTTAAGGTCATCTTAACAAAAGTAGATGAGTATTTCCTGTGATGGATGGCCCAAAGGAAGATACAAAAAACTTTCATCATATTTTTTCATGCAGTAATAATGCCATACCAATTTAAACCTATTCTTTAGGAAGCAGAGGAAGACATTACTAATTCAAAACTGAGACAACCTTGGGAAAAGGAAATGGAGAACACCTTTAATCTACTTCAGTTTAAAAAAATAATAGCACCACACGGTCTCTGAGAGAGACCCAACACTTTAAAAATCACTGTTCCTATTTTGCACAGGAGCTGTATATGTGAAGCCTCTGTCATCTCCACTCCTTTGCTATCCATACCTAGTACTGTCAATAAAATTGGCTAATTTCTCAAATTTGACTATTTTCTCAAATCCCTTCTTCTTCTTTCCCACCACACTAATACAGGCCTCAATAATACCTGGTTTACCAAGTCCCCTTACTCCTCCTCAACTCTAGACTGTCATCTTTGCAATCCATTCATAAATTTATCTTTTTATTCCCATACTTTTAGGCATTCTTTCATAAAGGCTTTTTGATTCTGCAAGTTCTCAGTGATCTCCCTTGAGTCTTGCATTAATCTCTATCACATTAACACTAACCACAACTGAATGCTTAATTTTTAGCACAAATACAAGTACACACATATATAAGGTATTTTTACTTATACTATTTCTTTACTAATATTGATTCTACACTATTAACTCTCTACAGTATGTATGCTACTTTTTTTCATATATATTACACGGCCCAGAAAAAAATATTAGGTGATAAATGAAACCAAGAAAAACATACTCTGTGTGTTTAATTTATACTCACTATAATATTAAATTCTTTCGCACGCTTCAAGAAAATTTTGGTGAGGAAAATATATACTGTCTTAGTTAAGTAAGTTTCTATTGTTTACCTGGGTGACTTGTAGAACTATACGTAACTATATGTACATATTAATATACAACTAGCTTCCCGTGATAGGCAGTTTGCTTGATATACCTCTGTTAATTCACTTATTTTATACTATTTAGTTGGTCATAAAATCTCTGCTTTTTCCAAAGGATCACATAAACGCATTTATTTATCTTGAGCCTGCTACAAATACGATCACTCTTTCTTAGAATTACTCTCTAACTCCTAAGAAAAGAGAGCAACATAGAAGATCATTACCCTGCTGATACGGTGCTGGTTCAAACGGTGGAGCAGCTCCTCGAGGGTCCTGGTAATAAACCTCCGCCTGCTGTGCTGGGTATAACTGAGAACCTCGTGGTACCATCTGAAGTGGTTTGGTGACAGGCATCGGAGGCAAATCTGTCGGCCCCCTTGGAGGTACAGGATGTGGATTCACAGGTAAGGCAGAAATACTCTTAGGGACAGATTCTAGCCTAAAGGAGTGAGATTCTACAAGTCAAGTTAAAGGTCTCAAAAATACTTCTAATATACACAAATTGCAAAATGTTTTTTTTTTTTAGAAGCCTTAACTTAGGAAACTTTTTCCCCCAATAGTCCGTTCTTCTACAAATTTCATAAACTTTGATCTTAATTCATTTATGCTAATTGTTTCTTAAAAACCACTAAAACAGGAAAGAACAAAATAAAACAAAAAATGAAGTGGGTTTTTTGTTTGTTTTTTTAATTAAACTCTGATTATTTTTTCTTCCCTCTACTTTGTTTGTAAAGAAGAAACTTTAAATAACAGCTAGGAAAGATGACGTACAGGTCAGGAGGAGATCCAGGGGCGCTACTGCTCAGATGATCTATCTTTCCTGGCTTCAGACTAGAATCATAGGTGGCATCTGTCCCTCGTGGAATCAGCTGTGTTACTGTACTCCCTGCTGATACAATTCCATTTGGCAGAGCAGGGGTTTTTCTACTAGGCAGATCCACTGCACCTTCATCTGGAAGGACAGCTGCTGAAGGCAGGCCCACCTCATTAAGTTGACCCAAAGAGGCACTCAGGGGTCTTCTGGGAACTAGGCGTTTATTCATTTTACGAAACCTACACAGAAAGCAAAGTCACACACCAAAACCCAAAATTATAAAAACAAAACCAAGAACTAAAATGTATTTGAGAAACAGATAAAAGGAAAAGATACTACGAACATTACTTTCTATAATTCTCTTGAAACATCAGCCATAGCTATCAACTTGAAAATTTATGTGTGTAGATACTACAAAATCTCAGGCAACACACTAAGTATAAAATTCCTTATAATGAGTATTTATAATATCACAGATCATACTAAGTAATATCTGCATTATAACTTACTTTTACTGTGATATCTATTTCTGAAACATTGGAGGGGGTAGAAAAATCTTTAGGGGACAGTTTCTGAAATATCTTACTTTAGCTTTCCCTCCTATGCCTTAGGATACAGTTAACCTATATTATAAATTAACAATAAAACAAAAAGCCAGTGTGCAGAGAAAAATTTACCATTTATTCCATTAAAATTTTTAAATTAAGAATAGTACTTTGTATCTGATATGATTCCAAGATTCTAATGTTATGTGAGCCTACACAAAATTGAAATTATTTTAAAAGTGGATGAATATAAACAATACAGAATAATGCCCAAATTTAAACAGACACTGGGGTATAAAAGACATGTAGATTCTAAATCTAACCACAATAAAACTATTAAGTCATCTGAATTCAGTACCCTTGTTCCTCAACAGTGAAAGAAAATCTATTTACACCTGCTAGGACACTGAAAAAGTATCTCAAAAACAAACCCCCTTAAGAATAATGCTTTTTTCCCGAATGTTTCCCATATTTGACAAATTTCAGAGGGGTGGAGAGGAGACAATACTCCTTAGGTGTAACCACTGTAAACAGTCTGGTACATAATCATACAGATTTTTCCCTCTATACCCTGCCTTAAGATTAATATGTATGTAGACTATTATTAACAGAAATAGGGTCATATATGAGTAACTTCTCCTTCTACTTTGTAACTTGGATATTCCTGTATGTTGGTACATTTTAGGTTGTTTCTAATTTTTTGCTATTAAAACAATGCAGTAACGGATACTTATGTACATGTACTTGCATCCTTGTGTGACTAACCACAAGAGAATTTTAAGTCTAATGTATGAACATTAGAAATTGTTATAATGCTCTAAAACTATTGTAACTTCTAATAGTAATAAAAGAAATGGCCTTTTCCATTGTTTCATCGAACACTAGGTAGTATCACAGTCTCTCTTAATTTGCTAGTTCAAAATGTCATTTTAAAAAAGATTTTACTTAGACAGGGAGCACACAATATACACGCATATGCATGTGTGGAGGGTGTGGGGGAGGGATTAGCAGACTCTGGCAGAGCAGGGAGCCTGACACCCTTGCCCTTCCATCTTAGGACTCTGAAATCATGAACTGAGCAGAAACCAAGAGTCCTATTGTTTCATCAACTGAGCCATATGGGTGCCCCTGAAAATTTTGTTTTCATTTGTATTCAAACAACCAGTGAAGCTGACATTGTTTTACACTTTTTTTTTTTAGTATTCTTCTATGAATTGCCTATTTGTTCATGATCTCTGTATTTACTGGTTCTTCTCCTTACAAATGTGTAGTAACTCATTTTATATTGGGGATGTCAGTCCTCATTTCCCCACCAATCTTTTATTTTTAATTGTGGTGTTTGGGCCACATCTTAGATTATTTTTATGTAATCATATTCATCAATCTTCTCTTTCATGGATGCTGGGTTGTCTTTCAAAAATTCTTTCCTATTGTAAGATTAAGTAACAACAGAAAATATCTCTAAGTATAGTTGCCTTCTTAAAGATTTAAATCTCTAAAGCATTTATAATTCATTTTGATATAAAGGTAGGAATTGAATTCTAATTATTTTTCAAATGGACAGCAGTTGTTTCCATGTCATCTTCTTTGTTATTGATGAAATGCCACCTTCAGCACAAACGCTCAGTTCCTATTGTGTCTGGTATTCTTTCTAGATTTTCCATTGTATTTCATGGTTCTATCTGTTCCTATGCTAACACCACAGTCTTTGTGCACTGCAGCTCATGATACACCTTAATAGTTGTTAGTCTAATCTGTTGAAACTTATTTTTTCAGGAATTTTCTGGCTATTTGTACATATTTACTTTTCTCAGCGAGTGATTTTGTTAGAACCTAACAATCCTCATGTTAATATTCTGAGATTTCACTGTAGTAATCTTACGACTACTAAATTTTGTCTTACTGTCAACTTGAATGAGACTGAATCTAATAGTTTACAGGTTGAGCATCATGTAATCATACTAGCTTTTGAGATACAATTATGCTGAGGAAGTGTCTATAACAGCTCTCTTCTACTAAATAATTTTGATCTATTATGAACATTTGATTCTAACCCTGAAGTAACTATAGTGTGTTATCTTTGCACTTCATGGTGTCTACTTTAATGTATTACTGAATTCTAATACTTGGGATTTTAAAACTATTAATATGTGAGGATGGATTGGTATTTTCTTCAACTGTCCTATCTTTGTAAAGTTTAGTGGCAATGTTACACTGGCTTTATAAAAAAATTAAAAGGTTTTCTTTTCTTTCTACTATGTGCTGGAAAATGTACCATCATTGGAATTATCTGATCTTTGAAATTTAAAACAATCTGTGAAATTACACCTGGCAATAAAATAATTTGGTGAATAGAACAAAGGGCAAATTTTTCAATTGGAAATACATTATTCAATTAGTTAAAATCAGTTAAAATTAATGAAAATTTTTAGAGTTTAATTTTTTTTTGGTAGTGCAAATGACTCACTTCTATATTTAGTTTTCTATTTGTGGGCATAATATAATTAAAGCTGAAGAAACTGCCTTGGTTTTTTTTTTAAAATATCTGTATTACTTTCTAAACTTTTCCTGTTCATTAAAGAGAATGTAGCTGCTCCTTTTCTGTTTCCTAACAGTGGCAAATTATTCTACTTAATAACTCTACCTTATTTCATAACAAGTTATTAGAAGGTTGAGTTTAACAACTTTCACACTTACTTCTCCAGTTCCTCCTGTGAGTGTGCAAATGTACAGCTGGCCCCACGAGGGCATCCTCCTCTCTGTTTCATATCTCGACACATGTATGTTTTATATTTGCTATGCTGTGGAGGCTGAGACCAAAGTTAAAACATTAGACACTGATTCAAACTAACTCACACAATTATCTAGACTGCCCAGAGCAAAAGTGTTAGAAAGCCATTCTGTCTACAGTCTCAGAGTCCAAAAATAAATTAATTATAAAGAATGGGGTCCTGATTTTTTGATATGTTGGCATTAATTCTCAAACATGTAGCATCATATAACTCCTAGATTAAATCTCATGACAGCTTTATCATTTTCTTTCCAGGTTTATTTATTTATTTATTTTTAAAGATTTTATTTATTTATTTGACAGACAGAGATCACAGTAGGCAGAGAGGCAGGCAGAGAGAGAGAAAGGGAAGCAGGCTCCCTGCTGAGCAGAGAGCCCGATGCGGGGCTCGATCCCAGGACCCTGGGATCATGACCTGAGCCGAAGGCAGAGGCTTTAACCCACTGAGCCACCCAGGCACCCCTTCTTTCCAGGTTTATAATGGAAAAACAAACCACTGGAGTTTAGGGCTTTCCAATGTTTAATATGTGTTCTAATATTTGTTTTGGACAATGTGTAGTATTAGCTATATTTACAATTAGGTTTTCCTATGACACAACACAAGTCTACAGTGGGCTCTATAAATGAAAAATACTCTGTAACCAATTCTTGATATGCAGAAGAACTTATCAAGGACCTACACTATCTCTACAAGTACAAATGAAATTATTATTTTCTAGTGTAAGAAAGGAGGATGGACTTGGGAGTTAACAAAGGTATCCAACACAATACTAAGCTAAAGGAAATTTGATTCATTTTATCACCTCTAGATAGAACTTAAAAGATTAATCTTATCGTTACGTTCTTCATGATGTCTAATAGAACATGGAGTTAAAAAGTTTTTAATATTTTATTTCTTATCATAAAATAAAGTCTGATCTATGCTTAGATTATTTAGAAAAAATGTATCCATATTATTCTACTCAGCAGGATAGTTTTTTAAAAGAAGGTTTTTAAGTAATCTCTATACCCAATATGGGGGGCTCGAACTCATAACCCTGAGATCAAGAGTCGCATGCTCTACCAAGTCAAACAGGTGCCCCGCTACTCAGCAGGATAGTGAATGGAACTTAATGTTTCATATCTCTCAAAGAAAAAAGAAATACTGAATAACCTATTGTTAATATTTACCTGAACCAGATAAATTAATAACAAAGCTTTAATTTCACAAGCTTACTATGGCAAAATAAAAGATCTAGCGAACCTAACATAAATCCCCAAGAGCAGAATAAAATGAAAAACTGCAGCCATAACATTAGCTGTTACATTTTACTGCTGTATACTTCAAAGTATTTGAAGAAAAATCTGGCCCATTTGCACAACAGACCTTATATGAATGAAAATGTTAAACTACTACTACAGAAGAAGCATTTTTACTTATTTATTTATTTATTTTTTTTTTTTTAAAGATTTTGTTTATTTATTTGACAGAGATCACAAGTAGGCAGAGAGGCAGGCAGAGAGAGAGGAAGGGAAGCAGGCTCCCTGCTGAGCAGAGAGCCCGATGCGGGGCTCAATCCCAGGACCCTGGGATCACGACCTGAGCCGAAGGCAGAGGCTTTAATCCACTGAGCCACCCAGGCGCCCCAGAAGAAGCATTTTTAAATATATGAATAGTACTGGACAGATAAAGCATTAAAAAGTGATATATATTATCAAACTATAATGTAACAGTAACCAATGAGGATCATTTTATTTAACATAGAACCTTTAGCACAGAATCAAATGCTGCTACACATCCAAAGTGAAAAATGACTGGAGTACAACTAACAGGATTATTTAATTCCATTGTTGCCAGATAAAATTACCACACTAATTCATTAAATTGGCTATAAGCCATATTAAACTAATTTATAGTTTCTATAGTCAGTCTCAAAATACTCATGTCATCTTGTTGGTTTTGTTTGTATCTGTCATAAGACCCACAGTGGCTTACTTCTAAGTTTCTAACGTCCCCCTTACCTGCTGTTGATCTGCTCCCTTTTTGCTATGGTTCTGGATATAGTCTACTAGCCCATGTACCACAGTCCGCACAGCAACCAGCCCATTTTCTAGCTGCTCCCAAGTAGGAGGAGGAGCATCTACACAACAAATTAAAAAACATTTTTAAATGATGTTATTCAATATTTTGTCCAATATTAAACTAATAAAAGGGTTAGTGTCAGCCTTTCAGTGAAATCAAGTTAGGCTCCATACAGCTTTTCAGGTAATAACATATTCTCCTAAAAATCATTTTAAGGAATGGATTCTAAACTAAAGTAACTACAGGGACAGGGAACGTAACATAAATTAAGTAGGCCAGACAATAAATGGCAACCACCATTAGACACTTAGGGTTGGGAATACAACAGAGAGATAAGAGGCAGGGACTGTGCTGAACTGGAGAGTGAGGCCCCCATCTAAGGTAATGGTTATGATTCAACTTCAGCTGATTGCTGTTATGTGATGCTGCAAGAATGGCACTCCCGATATACCACTGTTTCCCAGGGAAAACTAAAATTTGAGATTTTCATGTGAAATTATCCAGTTTTAAGTTTTACCTAAAAAATTTAGAATATTGTGCAGACCAACACTGTGTGGATCAAACAAAACTTAACCGTGGACTAGCCAATTTGTAATGTTCACTTTGAAATTCTGCATAAATGACGTATTGGTAAACAGAATGTTTAAATAAACTGAAAAGAGTCACTATATAAAGCAACTCTGCTATATCCTCTTCATTTAATATTTGTCTAGTGACAGTGCTGTGATTTTTATAAAGGAAAAGTTAACCACAAATATGAAATGTTCTCTAGAAGAAAATATAAAAAGTAAGAACACCAATACAGAGATGACTTCCCACTGGAGACACTCTCAAAGACTTCTAGGTGATGGCTGTGAATAAGGCTTTGAAGGACACATGGGAGTTTCACTTGAAAAAAAAAAAAAAAAAGAAGATCTAGAAAAGGTGAAGAGAATAGTCATACAACAAAGTATTGTTGGGAACACCTACTAAGTCCCAGGTATTGTTCTAGTTGCTAGGGAAGGAACAGTGATCAAAACAAAAACCCATTATATCCAAGGAGAGGAGACAGACAGTAAATAAGATAACCAAAATAAAACAATTTAGATAATGAGGACTTGAATAAACAGAGCATAGAAAGGGGGTGGGACAGGTATGTATAAAATTTTAGACTGGGTGGCCTGAGAATGTCTCCTTGAGAAGGTTACATTTGATTAAAGACCTGAAAAAACGGGATGAGTGTGCCTTGTGGATACATTAGGACAAAAATGTTCTAGGGAAAAAGAGTAAGTGGAAAGACCCTGATGTGGGAGTATGCCTGGCATGTTCCACAGAGGTAAAACTGGAAAAGAGTGAGTTAGGTGGAAAAGAATAGAAAATAAGCTTAGAAAGAGGTAAGAACCCCAGATCATGTGAGGTCACGGGAAAGATGTTCACTTTTACTGAACAATGGAAAGCACTGGAGAATTCTTTAAGATTTCATTTATTTTTAGAGAGTGAGTGAGAGCGCACACACATGTGCGAGCAGGGCAAGGGGGAGAATCTGAAGCCGACTCCATGCTGAGTGTGGAACCCAACACAGGGCTCAATCAGTTCTGGAGAATTTCTGAGCAGACTGCTAACAGGATCACTCTAGCTCCTGTAGGGATTCTGTAATCCCTGAAGAGAGTGAGGATGGTAGCAGTGAAGGTGATAAGCAGATGGATTCTACATGGACTTTAAAGGAAGGACCTACGGGTATGCTGCTGGATCAGAGGTACCACACGTGAGAAAGAAGAGTTGAAGAGATCTCCAAGGTGTTTGGACTGAGGAAATAAAATGGAAGGTTGGAGTTGCCACTAAAAGGAAAGGAAGGTGGGGTGGGTGTTAAGGTACCTGGAACTCACTTTTAGACAGAATGTTTGACATTATTTTTTTAATAAAGATTTTATTTATTTATTTGACAGAGAGAGAGATCACAAGTAGGCAGAGCAGCAGGCAGCAGGAGACGGGGAAGCAGGCTTCCTGCTGAGTAGAGAGCCCAGTGCAGAGCCGGATCCCAGGACCCTGAGACCATGACCTGAGCCGAAGGCAGAGGCTCAACCCACTAAGCCACCCAAGCGCCACCCCCCTTTTTTGAGATTTTTAAATTTATTTATTTGAGAGAGAGACAGAGAGAGCAAAAGCAAGGGAAGAGGCAGAAGGATGGGAGAAACAGACTCCCTGCTGAGCAGGGAGCCCAATGTGGGGCTCCATCCCAGGACCCTGGGATCATGACCTGAGCCAAAGGCAGACGCTTAACGATCTGAGCCACTCAGGTGCCCCTAAGTTTGAAATTACTAGATATTCAAGTAGGCCTGCTGCATGCTGAACAAGGAGGTGGATATACAAAAGAATTCAGGAAGAAAGTATGGGCTGGATATACTACATGTTTCACAGAATCTAAATCAATTGCAAAATACACCATTATTTTATGTGTCACCAAAATAAAAAGAGTGTTAATTAAATTACATGTCATTACTTATACAGATACATCCCAATTTCAGAAATGACAAGATCGAAAGAAACGTGGGCTCCAGAACTGACGAAATATAGTAAATTTGTGAGTCATATAAATAATACTTAAAGTTATGAGACTAGACAATATTATCTAGGACATGGGTATAATTAGAAAAGAGATACATGTATTAAACTCTGGGAGCAATCCAAAAGTGAGAGGCTATGGAGATGAGAAATTAGCAAAGGAGGCTCAAAGGAGGGTCCCATAAAATGAGAAGAAAACTAGGAAAGTCAAGTGAAAAAAGCATTAAGAGGATCAGAAAGTGAACAACAACATTAAATGCTGCTAACAGGTCAAACAAGTGAGAACCAAGAAGTGATGTCTGGAATTAACTTCATGGAAGTCACCTGTGACCTTGACAAAACAGTTTTCGTTGAACAACAGAGATAAATGCCTGACTGCAGTGAGTTCAGAACATGTTTAAAAAAAAAAAAAAAAAGGAGAAAAACAGTAGTAGGTGGATGGCAAATATTGTCCAAGTGGGTTATGTTGACAAGAGTAATAGGATGTCTGTATGTCGACAGAAATACTCCAGTAGAGAAGACAACTTGATGATATAAGAAACAGAGGATACTGGAATGATATACTTGACAAGATGATATTAGGAACATGAGAAAGGGGAGAGGCCTTAGCGGAGGGGTACAGTTTATCCACTATTTCACAAGGATAGCAGCCCATACCGGCACAGCTATAGACAAAAAAAGCCCATACCCCACAGCTTGATGGGGTAGAAGTACTCTTTTGATTGCTCAGAAAGAGCAAAGCATAATAGTGAAAAAAGAAAAATGACTGGGTTCTAGGACTATATTCGACCTGGTCTGATTTAAGCAATTTTGAAAGTAAATTTTTTTTTTTTTTAAAGATTTGATTTATTTGAGAAAGAGAGAGCGAGAGTGCAAGCACACAAGCAGGGGGAGTAGCAGAGAGAGAGGAAGAAGGCGGCTCTTCACTGAGCAGGGAGCCCGATGGGGACTCGATCCCAGGACACTGAGATCATGACCTGAACTGAAGACAGACGCTTAACTGACTGAGCCACCCAGGTACCCAAGTGACAGTAAATTCGATAAAGGTAGATTTAAAAAAAAAGAAAAAGAAAAGAAAAAAATAGAGGGCCCTGAATGCCACTGTCAAGATTTCCAAACCTTATTCAATAAGCAATGGGGTGTCACTGAAAGTTTACAAGCACAGAAATAAGATCAGAGATGTGATTTATTTTGCAGCAGTATGTGGACTGAACTAAAAACAGAATTAAGAGTAGAGGAAAATGGAAGGCATCCGGTCTCAGGAAAAAGAATAAGGCCCTCACCAATGCAGTATTAACTGGCATGGGATAGAGGGATATTGTGAAAGAACAGGCAGATCCTGTTGTACCAACCAGTATGTAGAGCGAGTAAAAGGAAAAGATATGAGCTAAGACAAAAGACCTGGGTTTTAAGTGTAAATACCTCAGACAATGAGGTCATTTAACACAGAACACAGGAAGAAGAGCTGTATCAAGTGAAGAAGAATCCGCTTTGAAGAACAGAAGAGACTATGAAGAATCTCGGAAAGCATTTGGGAAAGGCAATCTGGAGTGATGAAGAGATAATGATGATAGAGATATCTGGGAGCCTATTTTCCCCAGAGAGTAACACCAGTGGTGGGAATGAATGACCATCATCAACAAAATGCAAAGGAAACAAAATTCCAAGAACACAACTGGCCTACTCCTTAGTGGGCAGGAGGGAAGAATAGTCAAAATGAGACAGAAGCAGCATTTAGAGAAGTCAGAAGGAAACTATGAGAGTAGAGAAAGATACAGTATCTAGAGAGTCCCTATATTGAAGTCCCTATATTGAGGAACTGGTCGACAACATTATCAAATACTAAAGAGAAATCGAGTAATTTGAGGACTGAGAAGCCGTCTCTGGAATTTGAAACTGGGAAATTACTTGTGAAGATCAGGAGCAGGAATAAAACACAGGGACAGCAGCAGAATACAAGCTAAAATAGCTTTGATATGAAAAATGAAGGATGGGTGATTTTCAGGTCAAGGGGAAGGAGCAAGAAAAGGGTTGACAAAGTAAAGACACGCAAGAGAGGACACTTGATGAATGAGAGACATTATCATCACAGAGAGGGCAAAAAATGGGACCAAGAAAAAGGCAACTAAGGACACAGAATATAGAAAAAAATTAGTGAACTTGTGTTTTGTCAAAACAGATGAGAACAGTAAATACAGCACAATTCTGTGATAATGAGAAAGAGAAAACGAAGGATCCCAGAGTGAATCTACTTCCCTGGTGAAGTGAGCAGTAAGTAAAAAGGTTTGAAGCAATAAAGATATAGATACAAGGTTGGGGCCAGAAACTTACACAGTGTCTAAAAAGTCTGGAAGAACTACTCTGGGAAATTCTCAGGGAATGTAACAAAAGGTAATTAAAAGAATCACTGAGCAGCACTGAGGTACACATAGGACAGTCCATTCATTTCCCTTGGGGTTAATTTACCTGGACTAGGGTCAATGTTTGCCAATAGCTCCAAATGGGGTCTTAGTCGGTTCAAATTTGCTGGATCTCCAGTTCGCTGGAGAGCAATTGTTAGTTCCTGAACACTTTGTGCAAAAGAGGCTGGGGTCTGCAACTTAAAAAAGATAAATATTAACTTTCCAAAAGCCAGCTAATCCTTTTAAAGTAAAAACTATGTGTAATATTGCAATCATTTTTGCAACTTACTACATTTAATTTTATCCTTCCATACATTCCAGGCTTTGGCCAGACTGGATTACTGGTGCCTGAGCAAACCCTACACTCCCCTGCATTCACAGCTTGGCAGACTATAAACTCTCTTCCCTCTGATGGCACAATCCTCAAATGTGTCTGACCCTTTCTCAATTCCTCAATTTGGAAGTATACTCTTTCCATCTTACGTTCTTAGAGCGCTGTATTAGTTTGGCTCTTGGAGTGCTTCCAGAGAATTGAAATTTGGAGTCTAGAGAGAATGCTATACAATACCAAAAACAATGAAACTGAACTCAGTCAAACTGAGCTTGAGTTCAAGTTCTTCTCCAATATTAGTCCAAGAAGTAAGGAACAAAAAAGGGTCTACCTTGTCAATAATTGACTGCATATGAGACTTGTGAGTCTGGTCTCCATAAAGTAAAGAGGACCATTGGTCTGGTGCAATTCGTAAGCCTGCTTCCATAGCAATTTGCACTATCTGGGAGTCATGTTCTCGCCGCAGAGCTTCGTAGGTTCTAAATTCTTCCTTTAGTTGCATCAAAGAAGAGTCTTCATCACGCTTGGTGACCTAGTAAGACACACAACAATCTCATGAGTCAGGTAAGAAAGAAAATGAGTTTATACTCTATAAGAGCACATATACAGAATAGATCATTTTTAATATAACAAATTTCTTTTTTTTAAGCTTTTATTTGTCAGAGAGAGAGAGAGAGAGAGAGCGCGAGAGAGAGCGCGCGCGCACACAGGCAGGCAGAGTGGCAGGCAGAGGCAGAGGGAGAAGCAGGCTCCCTGCTGAGCAAGGAGCCCAATGGTGGGACTCCATCCCAGGACCCTGGGATCATGACCTGAACCAAAGGCAGCCACTTAACTGACTAAGCCACCAGGTGTCCCTATAACAAATTTCTTTTAATAACAATAACAACATTAAAATGGAACACACAGTTTTGCCTGTAAAACATTTCCCCCTTTAAAGACATCAAAATCTTGCAAACAGGTCTTATGGAAAGAATGAATATGTGCTAGAGCAAAATCCCTAGACTGGATAGACTTTAACACATATAGAGATGTGCAGATACGCATTTTTGAAAAGAAGAAAAATACTCGAGGCACCTGTCTGGCTCAGCCAGTATAGCATGTGACTCTTGGTCTCAAGGCATGAATTCAAGCCCCACATTGGATATGGAGTCTATTTCTTTTTATATACATACATAGGTTATGTGTATACACACACACACACAGCAAGGACTTTAAAAGAGGGAAAATGTGCAATTATTTGAAAAAGACAATAACAACAACAATGTATTTTCTTCTTCATAACTGTGGATTATCAAACTTGGGCTTGCCTGGCATTGAGTTGGCTGACAACCTAACTGAAAGAGTGTCATTCAGATGCTGATATGATTCTAAAGATGATTAATCTGTACTTAGCTTAATATTCCACAGAGTTCTGCAGGCTCGGCCACCATCAGAAAGTGTAAAATAATAATAATGATAATATCTTTTAGTAATTAAAATGATTAACCCTTATTGAGCCCTTAGTATGCTCTAGTTAGTGTGTTAACTTATTAACCATCATATTGACATGTTAACTCATTTACTTCTCTAAACTTGTTGAGGTAGGTACTATTGTTATTTTTGCTATATCGCTACATTTTTTTTTTAAGATTTTATTTATGTATTTGACAGACAGAGATCACAAGTAGGCAGAGAGGCAGGCAGAGAGGGAGAGAGGAGGAAGCAGGCTCGCCACTGAGCAGAGAGCCCGATGCGGGGCTCGATCCCAGGACCCTGAAATCATGACCTGAGCTGAAGGCAGAGGCTTTAACCCACTGAGCCACCCAGGCACCCCTATATCGCTACATTTTGAATCAAGCTGGATTTGGGCCAAAGGCTCAAGAAATCAATGTCGAATAATATTTTTTAAAAGATTTTATTTATGTGAGATAGAGTAAGAGAGAGTGTGCATGGGAGAGAGAGAGAGAGAGAGAGAGACAGAAAGCACATGAGCGGGTGGGGGGGCAGAGGGAGAGGGAGAGGGAGAAAAAGGAAGGCTCTCCACTGAGCAGGGAGCCTGACTCAGGGTTCAATCCCAGAACCCCGGGATCACGATTTGAGCCAACTCAAATTAACCAACTGAGCCACCCAGGAACCCCCAAAGCAAAATAATTAATTCTACTCCAGGATCACCTGTATCCTAACATATTTCAGAATATATTTTTACCTTGTTAACCTTTTATTCCCACAAGGACTCAAATTCCTCTAGCAGAAAATTCCCATTTTTTTTCTTCCACCAAAGAAAACTACAGCAAGACCTCTAGGTCAACCTGATTATATTTTTAAATGTACTCCATTCTTATTACAAGAAGGCCTAACTTAAATTTTGTTAGGCAAATCCATAAAAGACCAAATAGATTAAAAAAAAAAAAATCAAGGGGCGCCTGGGTGGCTCAGTGGGTTAAACCTCTGCCTTCGGCTCAGGTCATGATCTCGGGGTCCTGGGATCGAGCCCCACATCGGGCTCTCTGCTCAACGGGGAGCCTGCTTCCTCCTCTCTCTCTCTCTCTCTCCCTGCCTCTCTGCCTACTTGTGATCTCTGTCAAATAAATAAATAAAATCTGTAAAAAAAAAATCAAGAACTAGAGTAACTAAAACAAAATATATTTTGCCACCATTTAAAGGCAAGTCAAAAGACCAAACGCATATGTGGATGTATAAAAACATCCTCTCAATACAGGTTAAACCTTATTAAAATGTAAAATGTCTTCCATATGATATACTAGGGTTCCCTGGCCTTGGTTTTCAAAACTGTCTTAACTAAAAACCGTCAAAGATTTCTAAGAGATGCATGTCTACAGTAAGTCCTGGAACTATACTGTACTAAGGAAGACCAGAATAATCCCTGCCTGAAAAGGTTTTTCTTTAAAGATTTTATTTATTTATTTATTATGACCTGAGCCGAAGGTACGTGCTTAAGGACTGAGCCACCAGGCACCCCTGAAAAAGTAAACGGAAATAAAAGAGATGCTAAAAGGATGCAGTTAGAACACAGCTATACGGACACACACAGCTACAAGGAAGAATGGAAGATGTGAGCTCCATCAATGTGAGTTCCACAAATTAAATTAAACTGGTATTGGTAAATACTTAACAGAAACTCTGCCATAGTGAATAAAATTTAGGGTATGGACCTATTGCGATGAGAGAAGATAAGTCTTCTCATGATGGAGACTGTGGCACGTATTACCAGCAAGAGAAGAAAGCAGGTAGACAATGAAATAAAGGGAAAGAATCATGACCCAAATGAAAAATAACTGGATTTTTATAAATTTCCAATCTCTTTTCAATTACTATTAATGCTTTTAATTAGGATTGAGAGGTTCACTGTGGGTGTTCTGGGGCTTTTGGACCCCTTATTATTCTTCACAGGGGAAGGATAGATTTCCTTTTCTTTCCTTTTATTTTTTAAGCTTGCAATATTGTGTCTGTGCTGTTATTACAGAACAAAGAACTTTGGAAGCAGAAAGACATTCTGAAGTGTACTGCACATAACACTGTACAATCATGTTATTATAATCATTACAACCAAAGTGAGTTATTTGGGGACAATCTGAACTAGTTGGGAGTTATTTTGGCTAGAGTTTCTCATAGTCCCAGAGGCACCTATGGCCAAAAACAGGGTTGGGTACAGACCTGGAGTGCACACATCATTTTCAGTACATATATAATCTGACTCTAGAAAGAAAAATAATGTGGGCATTTAGTCAGAGCTTTAAAAATTTTTTTAAATTAAACTGGCATGCTTTCCGGGCGCCTAGTTAAGTGTCTGCCTTCGGCTCATGTCATGATCCCAGGGTCTTGGGGTGGAGCTCCAGGTGGGGCTCTCTGCTCAGGGGGGGAGCCTGCTTCTCCCTCTCTCTCTCTGCCTGCCACTCCTTCTGCTTGTGCTCTTTCTGTGTCAAATAAATAAATAAAATCTTAAAAAATATATAAATAATTTTATTATTTATGAATGTTTTATTAACTTACAAAACATATATTTATGATATATATTATTTATATATTTATAATATATATTATTTCTATCATTACAATTATGTAATTCATAAAATTTATATGTAATATATAAATAATAAATATATAAACTATTTTATGTTTGTATATAAAATATAGTGTTTATAAAAATAAATGTTTTCCTGTTGATTTTGTAAACCATGCTTTCTCAGGAAATGAGAAAATAAACTACAGCAGACTGCAGGATTTTTTATTTTGAGTGTCAGATGAGGGGACATGGTGACCAGGAAAGGATATCTTTACAGTCTGTATGAATTAAAAAATTTTTAGTGGCTTGCCTCTCTGGTCCATGAAGTACTAGTTATGTGTGTGACAGAAGCAAGAAGCCTTCACATTAAGAAGTCAGGAAAACAGGATGAATGATAAATGCTACACAGGGAGCACTGATTGTCTAAAGCAGTGCTGATTCAATTTGGGATACGAAAGAGTATGTCCAGGGGTGCCTGAGTAGCTCAGTGGGTTAAGCCTCTGCCTTCGGCTCAGGTCATGATCCCGGGGTCCTGGGATGGAGCCCCACATTGGGCTCTCTGCTCAGCAGGGAGCCTGCTTCTCCTCTTTCTCTGCCTGCTTGTGATCTCTGTCAAATAAATAAATAAAATCTTAAAAAAAAAAAAAAGAGTATGTCCGGCCTTACTATATATACTGAAAATGAAATGACAAATGGAACTCCAGTACTGTACATGTGGAATTACAGCAGGAGCAAAGAGCAAAATGAAACTTCTTGCTTCAATTACTCTCTTTTCAGACCAATTCTGCATATAGCCTTGGTGGAACAATGACACACAGCTTATTAGCCTCTTCAAATATAAAAATCTATAAACCTCAGTTTGATCCATATGTGGATCAAATTGTTGTTGTTCAATATCTAATATACAAAATTTAATATAATAGGGGCGCCTGGGTGGCTCAGTGAGTTAAAGCCTCTGCCTTCGGCTCAGGTCATGATCTCAGGGTCCTGGGATCGAGCTCCGCCATCGGGCTCTCTGCTCAGCGGGGAGCCTGCTTCCTCCTCTTTCTCTCTCTGCCTGCCTCTCTGCCTACTTGTGCTCTCTCTCTGTCAAATAAATAAATAAAATCTTTAAAAAAAATTTAATATAATAAGATTTAACTTTAATAAGACACCAACTACATTCCTTTTATTTTATTTATTTATTTTTAAACATTTTTCAAAACAAAAAATCTTTAAATTTTCTTAGGGGCAACTTTATTAAACTCAAAAGTTTTACTACTAGGGCACCTGGGTGGCTCAGTGGGTTAAAGCCTCTGCCTTCAGCTCAGGTCATGATCTCAGGGTCCTGGGATGGAGCCCTGCATCAGGGTCTCTGCTCAGCAGGGAGCCTGCTTCCCTTCCTCTCTCTCTCTGCCTGTCTCTCTGCCTACTTGTGATCTCTGTCAAATAAATAAAATATAAAAAAAGAAGTTTTACTACTTAAGTTTGGGAAAAAGATAATGTTTCCTTTTAAGCTGAAATATAACCTTAGTTCATACCTTGAAGCAGGAAGCTCTATAAAGGAGCTGAACAACATGCCCAATGCTAGTTTTAGAGGCCTGAGGAAACCGCGGCTCCAACCTTTGCACCACAAAGAGAACCAAGACTTTCCTTGACAGAGCAGAACCATCTTCCAAGGCCAGGAGAACCAGCTTTAGAGCTTCCTCCTGCATTGCTAGGGAAAGTTAGGCAAAACCAAAATTTATCATGTATAAAGATAAGATAAATTTATTTATTAGAAGGGCAATATTTAACAATTTCTGCAGGTACCACCCCATGGGCAACACAACACTGTAATACATAGTCACAGTTACATTTTCTAACCATTTGGGGGCATTTTATATTATACTCTGCATATTTTATTTAAGAAAGCAGATAAAAAAAATTTCTATCAAATTGAAAACTTTTGACACTGAGAAATGTTTTACATGCTCTAAAATACTGACATGGAATTACCCAAGCCATGACTGTCAAGTGGAATATTTCTTGGTAATAACAGAATGTTAGAAAAACTAGTGTTTGTATATCACACTTATAGTTCTTAACACCATACTTTCAGAATTATTAGTAGAGTAAATATCAAACTTTCATCACATACCCGGTCCAAGGAACTGGCAGCCCCTAGCCCTGACTGCTGCCCAAAGATTAGAGGAGAGTTGCTGAGGATTCTGGTGCTGAAGAATGAGCTCTGTAACTGTTCGTTCACCTAAAGATCGGGCTGCTCTCATAGCACGAATCCTGCCTTCTTCTTCCACTAGTTGGCAGTGGACCAGAGTCACCAGCTTCCTCTGCATTGGGCGACTCAGAACACTCTGAGTAGTGCTATTCAGACCCACTCCTTTAAGAGAGTAAAAAGTTATTTCTAGGTTTACAATGCAATTTTAAGAGTCCAGAAAAACTTCCTCTGATGGGCTAACTGACTTATGCATACATGAATAGTTCCCAGTTCTACTGTAATGTTTAAAATAAATAATAGATAAAATTACATAAAGCCTAGTTTGCATTTTAAAAGTATACAAAAGCTATTATCTCACGTAAATATAACACTCATTACAACATTAAATATATCATTATTCATCATAACCACGGAGGGAAAAGGGGAAAAGGCCAGATATTAAGACTCAAATCTTGAGGTCATAACAGTTCTGGCATTTTACTTCGTAATGGTTAATTTTACCTTCCTAATGAAATAACAAGCCATAATGGCAAGGCAGTAAGAGCAACTTCCAATTTTATTTCATTCCCTATGGCATACCATATAAAACTGAATAGAAGAAGGCAGACAATCCAGAGTTGTCAAATGATGGACAGCTCTTCTGAAACCACAATCACTTATATTTGCAACTCATTCAAATGTTTCCAACATCACATAAACTCTGAAGTCACCTATTTAATGTGATTTGTAATGATATTATTTAGTGTTTGTGGATTTGATTTACAATAAATAAGTTAATTTCATTAGCATTCACTTACAGCCCACAATTTTTTTTAAAGATTTATTTATGGGGAGTCTGGGTGGCTCAGTCAGTTAAGTATCTGCCTTCAGTTCAGGTCACGATCCCACGGTAATGGGATCCAGCACCGTGTTGGGCTCCTTGCCCATCAGGGAGCCGGCTTCTCCCTGTCCTCTCCGCTTGTACTCTCTCCTGCTATTTCTGTCACTCTCTCAAATAAATAAATAAAATCTTTAAAATACATAAATAAACAAACAAATAAATAAGTAAAATAAAAGATTTACTTTAGAGAGGAGGGGGAGGGACAGAGGGAGAGTGAAACTCAAGAAAACTCTGAGCTGAGCACAGAGTTTGGCATGGGGCTCAATCTCATGACCTTGAGATCATGACCTGAGCTGAAACCGAGAGGCAGACACTTAACTGACTGCATCCTCCAGGCACCCCTACAATTTTTATGATAATAAAAACATCTTTAATGAACATGTTTAGCATGGATGGCTGCATCCGATTTACCTCTAGCACTGCTGAGTGGTTTCAGGTACAATGCTAATTCTTCTACACATTTCTTGGCTTCCTCATAATGCTTTGTATCTTCAACCCCACTACACAAAGTAATGGGTTGCTGCTCAGGGACCTTCAGAAGAAATGGTCTGTATGAGTACTCATTGTTTTGAGTATATTTTATGCACTGCTACTCTGTGGTAACATCAAAGCGCCTACTAAATTTATTGAATTCTTCCAAAGGCCTTTTCTATGCTAATACACAAAATTCAATGCACTGTTTTGGTTTTGTAATAGCTTTACTGAAATATAATTTGTACACCATATAAGCCACCCATTTAAGATATACAATTCAATGGTTTTTAGTATATTCAGAACTGTGCAACCATAACCACAATTTTAGAACATTTTCATCATCCCTCCAAAGAAGACCATACTCTTTTGTCTCCCCTCTCATATTTCCTCCCAACTCCCCACCAACCTTAGGAAAACAATGATCTATTTTCTGTCTCTATGGAGTTGCCTACTTTGGACATTACACATTAACAGAAATCAAAGAACCATATATAGTTACTTCCAAAGTGGTTACACTATCTTTTATTCTCACCAGCAATCAATGAGTTCTGTCGCTGCACAGCCTCACCAGCACTTGGCATTGTGTTCTGGATTTTAGCTATTCTAATTGGTATGTAGCATAATCTTGTTATCTTAATTTGCAATTCCTTAATGACAAATGATATTGAGCAACTTTCCATTGTTCATTTACCATCTGCATATCCTCTTTGATGAGGTATTTATTCAGATCTTTCCCCATTTTAACATTATGTCCTTTTTATTACTGAGTTGTAAAGTCTTTTATTTATTTATTTATTTATTTATTTATTTATTTATTACATACGAAGTTGCAGGGGAATTAGCACATCTGAATCTGAAAAAAAAAAGGTTATAGACTTACAAGGCTAAGCTGCAAGCAGGGAGCAGAAGGGAGAAAAACTTTAGTTGCTATTAGTTTTTATTCCAAACTGCATCAGATCATTAGAAACCAATAGTTTGTAAAGGACTTAGTGCATAACTTTAAGAGTCTTTTATATATCCTAGACACGACTTTCAGATATATGAGTTACAATTATTTTCTCCCATTCTGAGAGTTGGGTCTTTCCCTGATGGTCCTTTGAAGCACAATTCAATTTACCCTTTTATCCCTTGTGTTTTTCATGTCCTATCTTAAAAACAAAAACAAACAAAAAAAACCCACCCACTGCCTACTCCAAGATCATTAAGATTTATGAGTTCTGCGGTTTTAGCTTTTACATTTAGCCTTTGGTTCACTCTGAATTCGTTTTTGTATTTGGTGTGAGGCAGGGGTCCAAATTCATTCTTTTGCATTTGGATATCCAGTTTTCCCAGCACCATTTGCTGGAAAAACTGTCCTTTTCTCACTGAATGGTCTCGGAAACGTCAAAAATCATTTCATATGGGTTTATTTCTGGGATCTGTTCTATTCCACTGAACTAAATGTATGTGTTTATACCAATATCACACTGTCTTGATCACTGTAGCTTTGCGGTTTCAAAATGTGGAGCCTGAATCCTCCAACTTTGTCTTTTTTCAAGATTGTTTTAACTATTTGTGGTCCCTTCTGATGCCATATGAGTTTTAGGATTGCCTTTTTGTTGTTGTTTCTGCAAAAAGGAAAACCATCATTGGGGGTTTGATAGAGCTGGCATTGAATTTGTAGATGGTTTTGGGTAGTACTATGATCTTAACAATATTAATTCTGCCAATCCATAAACAATGTCTTTCTATTTATTTATGTCTTCTTTTAAATTTCTTTCAGCAACGTTTTGTAGCTTTTCACTGCACAAGTCTTTCTCCCCCTTTGCTGAATTTATTCCTAAGTATTTTATTATCTGATGCTAGTGTAAGTGGATTCAATTTCTCAATTTCCTTTTGGATTGTTCATTGCTAGTGTATAAAAATACAACTAATGTGTTGACTTTGTATCCTGCAACTTTGCCTAATTCATTTATGAACTCTAACAGCTTTCTAATGGAAATCTTTAGAGTTAAAATAGTGACTACTATATATTGAAATGCCCTGTCTTTGTTCCTCAAAATGTTAATAATAGAACCACCCTATGATCCAGCAATTGCACTATTAGTTATTTACCCACACGACATAAGAATACAGATTCGAAGGGATACATACACCCCCATGTTTTACAGCAGCACTATCAACAATAGCCAAACTATGAAGAGAGCCCAAATGTCCATCGACTGATGAACGGATAAAGAAGACGTGGTGTATATCTACAATGGAATAATACTCAGCCATCAAAAAGAATGAGATCTTGTTTGCAATATGGATGGAGCTAGAACATATTATGCTAAGAGAAATAAATCAGGCAGAGAAAAATACCATATGATCTCACTCATATGTAGAATTTAAGAAAGAACACAAATGAACAAATGAGCACACAGAAAGGGGGAAAAGAAAAAAGGAAAGAGGGAAACAAACCATAAGAGACTCTTAATGATAGAGAACAAACTGAGGGCAGACAGAGGGACATGGGTTGGAGATGGGCTAGATGGGTGATGGACATTAAGCAGGGTACTTGTTATGAGCAGTGAGTGTTGTAAACAAGTGATGAATCACTGAATTCTACTCCAGAAACCAGTATTGTACTGTATGTTAACCACCTAAAATTAAAAAAATAATAATAAATAAAATGCCCCATCCTCAAATATAAACATTAGTTGTTTCAGTTAAGATATAACAAGGTCTTACTCATTTTGTAGAAAGAGTTAGTTCCTCTTGAGACAATTTTATGGAAAAAAAAAAAAGCAAGCCTTGGTTATTTGCTATTAAAATAGTATATTTTTAAAATTATTACTCTTAATAAGTCTATTTTTTAAATGTTTCCGAACTATCGTATGGGATTTTCAAAATAAAAAGTAATGATTATAAAATGAAAAATTAAGTGCAAGAAGCAAAAGGACCTATTGCACTTCCCCTTTTGACAAATATTTTGTAGTGTTGTTGGTGACATCACAAGAGAGGTTTATAGATAAGTCTTCCTTCTGAACAAGTTATTCTAGAACTGCTCTCTTCATCTCCAACATACATAATATCAACCTTTCGTACATTTTAGCAGCTGATCTAGCAAGACTGATCTAGAGAAGATCAATGCGGCCAGATCCAAAGTTCTAGTATATTTATTTAAAAAATGATTTTTGGTAAATATATGGCATTTCAGACTCACATTCTGCACATTTAGTAAAGGATTACTTCAATAAATCATATCTAGCTTTCAACAACCCATCTCCCTTGGCTTTGTGAAATCTTCTGAAGATACTACTGATCCTTCAATTTGAGAATAAGGACATTAAATTTTAGAGTATTACCATCAGAACTGCTAGACTAACTTTAACATTTAGATATCTAGGAATATTTGCTTCTACTCTAGAAATATGGTTCCCAATATACTCTAGAGTTCTTGTCACCGTCTTCATCTTTCATTTCAGCTAGTGTCTACTATGGACAACTGTCTGAAGTAGCTTCACTTTTCCTATTAAGTAAAATGCAATGGTTTTATGAGTAGTATTTTCCTCAATATTAAGAGGTCTCTGTGACTTATCCTCTTAGGTCTCTCTAGTGATCTGAACAGCTGAAACTGCTGAGAAAGGCTGACCACCAGATTAAGTGACTGTTCTGTGCTATGACCGAGGAACACTGCACTCCCACGATGTATCTCCCAATACACTGAAATAAAGGATTTGCACAGTACCGATGGAATTTTCTGTCTTTTTAGGTAGAAGGCAAGGTTGTCCAATTTTAATTCAATTTTCCCTTAGGAGAAAAACACTCAGAAATTGAACAGTAAGTGACCCATCTCACCTGAGCACCCACCAGCTGCAGCAATGCTGAGTTCACGGGGAGGAGCTCAATGTCTGTATTGATAGTGGTCTGGTCAAATGGGCAAGCCTTGCGGTGGAGTTTATTCAGGCACATCTTGCAGACAGTATGGCCACAACCCAAACTGATGGGCTTTCGAATTGTTTCATCGAAAGTCTGAGTGCAAATTGGGCAGGAGAGGAAATCCGTCCACTGTGGAGCTTGTACAGGCATTGTTACTGGAGTTACAATTCACTAACACACACACACACAGAGAAAATAATCTAAAGCAAAGATTCCACTGGAATCAAAATCTTTGAAAAAAGTTTTTTTTTTTTTTTTAAATATCTTCTGTAGATACAGTCAGCACATAGTGTGAAATATAACCTGGAAAACAAAAAAGAGAGAGAGAGAAATCAGTGTGTCTTCCTTTTCAATTAAACCATGCATTCACTCTACTACCTACAACATTTTAAACCACACTGTTATCACTATAGTACATTGTTTTGCACTTCTATAGAATCAGAGCCATAACAAAACATCTAGTTTTATCCCCTCACTGTAGAGATGGGGAATGGACCCCAGGAAGAAAATTACTTGCTCAAGGAAACAAATGAAGTTAGTAATAAAGTTAGATCCAGTATCTACATCTCTGAAGTTTACTGAAGTCTATAATTATACAGAAGAATTAGCCTTTTTTTCCTTTTTTAAAGATTTTATTTACTTGTCAGAGAGAGAAAGTGAGAGTGTGAGCACAAGCAGAGAGAGCAGCAGGCAGAGGGAGAAGCAGGCTCCCTGCTGAGGAGGGAGCCCGAAGTGGGACTCCATCAAAGGACCCCAGGATCAGGACCTGAGCGAAAGGCAACCGTTTAACTGACTGAGCCACTGAGACGTCCTAGAATTAGCCTTTTTAAGGTGGTTAATAATACTATTTCTTGATGTGAACGCCAATTACATCTATCTGTTCAGCTGTGAAAATTTATCAAGCTGTACACTGATGATATGTACACTTCTGTACATGTTACACCTCAATAAAGAGTTTTAAAAAATTGGCATAAAGCAAAAACCACCTTAAAATATTTTATCATCAAATTGGGTATGGGTAGGGTGCCTGGGTGGCTCAGTTGGTTGGGCATCTGCCTTCAGCTCAGGTCATGATCTTAAGAGTCCTGGGATTGAGGCCCCAATCAGGTTCCCTGCTTGGTGGGGAGCCTACTTCTCCCTCTCCTCCCTGCTCTTGCTTTCTCTAGCTATCTCTGTCTCTCTCTCAAATAAATAAATAAAATCTTAAGGAAAAAAAAAAGGTCTTTAAATAAAAAGTCTATGGGCTTTTTTAGTTTGTTTTTAAGGGTCTTAAATATTGTTAAGAATTTTATTTACAGAGAGTTAGTTATCTTTAAGCCCCTGGTATAGCCTTTATTTATTGCTATTGTGTGTTGTACTGAACAACTGCATAGTTAAAATTATTTACTTCAAAAGATTTTTTAAATTCTCAAATTTATGAATGTAAGAACAACTGTAATTCAAATTATAATCAAATTCCATTGCCTAGCCTCTGTTTTTGGCAGAGGATAACAGCCAAATCACAAAATTTATCATCTGTGTCTAATCGAAATTCTTTATATAAAATTCAACCTAAAAGTTATATATTAAACAATACCTACTACACTTACTCTAAATGTCGTTTCTAAAAATAAGAACTGATGCACAGAACAATAAAGTAATAGTATTACAAGGTTCTCCAAGATTTGATTTTGCCTGAGAGACTGCTTACAAAGATGGAAAAAATTATTTAAGCTGTAATTAACTAGGAAGGTAAATCATCTAGATACCTTATTCTTTGAGCATTCTATTTAATTCTTGTCTTACTGAAATAATTCAACCTTAAATGCAAGGCCATTACTGGTGAGAGAGCAGTTTTCATTCATTCAGCAAACATTTACTAAGCACTACTATGTGCCAGACTGAATTACTGGGGAAACAGTGAAACAGCACCGTCAGAATACCTGCCTTCTAAGTAATACTAGTTTTGTTTGGGTTTCTGCAAAGTGTGCTATAAGACAAATGGATTTTACCAAGTTAATTTCATGTTCAGGATATAAAATTAAAGTTATCTGCATGTGTGTTAAAATGGCCCCTGTAATAACAAGAATGAGTAAATAAAGAAACTGCTCACATTTTGATTTCTATAATGTTTTAAAGACAAATACTTCTAATAAAACAGATTTAATCAAATAGATTGAGTAGCTACAGTTATGTTTATATTAAATTATTACTATTTAATAAACTGAAACTCTCATCTGGAATGGTAAAAAATAGAGCAGTATCTAACTACTCTATATGACTGCACTCAAATGCTACATTTGTGTATGGGGTTAGAGAATGCTCCAAAATAAAAAAAGGAGTAAAGTTTTAGAAGACATAATACCCAGAAAAAAGAAGTAGGTATTAGTCAAAAAACTGCTTGCTGAACCTGATTAAATCAATAAAGTATCACCCACATGAACTTTTCTATAGATTAGTATAGCAATTTATATTAATGCCTGTGAAGAATCTGATCTTGTGTTAATCTCTGCAAAGTAATTTAATGGTTCCTTCCTTTTTATTAGTATAGCCTTGCAAACAACTTAAAATTTGTTAACCATTAAGTAAAGATAACAAAACACAGCACTTTATTCTCTCAAACACTGTAACTATACAAACCCCAAAGGGCATAAAATGTAAATATTTTATTGTACGTCAGTACAATTTTTACCATTACACAGCTATGTGCCACATTCTATGCTAAATGCCTTGCATACAGACCACTTATAAAAGGTAGATAATTACTGTTATTCCATTTTACAGATTTGAGAAATGGAGGTTTAGAGAGGTTGAGTAAGATAAAAAGAAAGAGCTAAAATACTAAACCCAGATATTCTCGCACAAAACCCAAACTCTTAGCCATATCAGCATTCACAAATTAAAGGTTAAATATAAGTAAGGAAGAACTATATGTGACTTCATTCAAAAACCAATGTCACAAAGCTGTGCTAATAGCTACTGACCTCACAGCAATTCTGCTAACCTTACTGCCCAATCTAATGGTCAGGTCACTGTTCTAATCTTATTTGTCTTCTCAGTAAGATATGAAACAGATGGCTACTAACTTCCTGCTTCTTGAAAGTGTCAATGAAACACATTCCTCTCATCCCTTCCAACTTGCTGTGTTTTTGATCTCTTAAAACTCCTAAATGTTGGAATCATCAGATCTCTACTTTGAGTTTCCTTTTCTCATCATTCTTCAGCTAAAATCCTAAAACAGCTTTCTGTAAGATTTAGAATAAACTCTGGATTTCTTATACTGGTTTACAAAACCCTAACTGATATGACTTATAATTCTACTTCAACTTCGTTTTCTAACACTTATCCCACACCTCCCTAATACTGTCCAGCTATTCAAGGAAAGCTTGTTCCCACCTTAATATAACAACATGAGGTATTCTCTCTAATCTTTGAATTGGAAACCATTTACTTCGATGCCATCAAAAATGTCAGGTGTTCCTTGACCACTTAAAACTCTAAATCACTTTTTAACCCATCACTATATTTAAATTCTCTATAAAACATTTCCATCATCTGTAAGCATTTTCTTTCTTATACTTTATTTTTATTTTTTTAAAGATTTTATTTATTTATTTGACAGAGATCACAAGTAGGCAGAGAGGCAGGCAAAAAGAGAAAGGCGGAAGCAAGCTCCCTGCTAAGCAGAGAGCCCAATGTGGGGCTTGATTCCAGGACCCCGGGATCATGATCTGAGCTGAAGGCAGAGGCTTTAAGCCACTGAGCCACCCAGGAGCCCCTCTTTCTTATATTTTAATCTGCTTACTTAATATCCATCTTCTATAAGAATACAGATTCTACAAGAGCTAAGACCTTAATGTGTCTTGTTCACTATAAAAGCTATAGCTCGGGGCGCCTGGGTGGCTCAGCAGGTTAAAGCCTCTGCCTTTGGCTCAGGTCATGATCCCAGGGTCCTGGGATCGAGCCCCGCATCGGGCTCTCTGCTCACTAGAGGGCCTGCTTCCTCCTCTCTCTCTGCCTGCCTCTCTGCCTACTTGTGCTCTCTGTCAAATAAATAAATAAATAAATAAAATCTTAAAAAAAAAAAAAAAGCTATAGCTCCTTACTACAATTTAGGCACACTAAAAATTTTGTGTGTAATTTTAGAGAGTTCACAGACCTGTGGAAATCTACTCAGAAATCTCTAAGGTACTTAAAAACTCTAAATTAAGAAATTCTAATCTACATTCTTCCTTAATGAGTCTTAAAAAATTATAAATAAATATTTGAGATTTATTATATGTCAGACACTGCAATATGGAAACAGGTAAAAAAAACATGGTCAACATCAGTTTTACAGACTTGAAAACTCATGGCTCTCCTATATGAACTTAGATCTATGCTGCCATAAAAAATTTTCCAAATCGGGGCGCCTGGGTGGCTCAGTGGGTTAAGCCTCTGCCTTCGGCTCAGGTCATGATCCCAGGGTCCTGGGATCGAGCCCCACATCGGGCTCTCTGCTCAGCAGGGAGCCTGCTTCCCCCTCTCTCTCTGCCTGTTCCTCTGCCTACTTGTCATCTCTGTCTGTCAAATAAATAAATAAAATCTTAAAAAAAAATTTTCCAAATCATTCTGTTGTAACAAGAATTCAAAATTTTATCAGTAAAAGAGACCTCAGAGATCATCTGGTTCTAGCCTAGTTTTTCAAGATGATTTACTAACATTTACTTCTGCCCCTATCAAAAGCAAATATTATTAAGCTTTTTCAAACACCTCTTTTCATTTAATCTTTAAAACCCAAAGAACGGGATGCCTGGGTGTGTCTGTCAGTTAAGCCTCTGCCTTTGGCTCAGGCTCAGGTCATGATCCCTGGGTCCTGGGATGGAGTCCTGCATTGGGCTCCTTGCTCAGCAGGGAGCCTCCTTCTCCCTCTATTGGCAGCTCTCCACTGCACACCCACTGTGCTCTCTCTCTCTGACAAATAAATAAAATCTTCAAAAATAAAGAAATAAAACCCAAAGAACTTGGGATCATTTTTCTTCTTTTTGCAGAGAAATTAAAATAACATTAAAAAAAAAATTCAAAGAACTCTGTCCAAGGTCACACAGGTAGTAACTGGCAAAGTCAAGAAGACACAGCCACCTCGGGTCAGTACTTAACACTAAAGCCTACATGCACTTTCCACCACACCAATCTGACACAGAGAAGACCAAAAGGCATGACAAGTAAAACAGTTACAAAGTCATGAAGCTTGATAATGGCAGAGCTAGGACTGGAAACCAAGTTTCCCAACTCCTAGTTCTAGTGTCCCCTGTACCCCACCAGACTGCCTTGCATATAAACCT